TCCCGAAGCCTCCAGGCTTGGCAGACACAGTTGCTCTGGACCCCTTTTCTTTCCCTGCTTTGCGAGTGCTTCCCTTCACCTCCAGCTTTAGCAAAAGGCAGGGAGAGGGGGAAAGGCACCAGGCTGGGGCACTACGCACAGGAGTGCAAACAGCACAAGGCCAGCTCCCACCACCCCACCAAATGAGCTGCAGGCCAGGAGAGGGCCGTGACCGTACAGACATCTGCTCGCCCACAGCCTGCTCCAGCAGCACCTGAAAGGGAAAGGCTCTCTGCTTGAGTGCCAGAGCTGCCGGGGCTTTCTGGACCCAGTGGCTCAAGGAAGGCACAGCAGAAGCTGCTGCTGCTTCTTTATGTCACTGCCTGGAGCCAGAGGATTTGGCGATTTACCTGACCACCATCAGCAGTGCTCCTCTGCCGGACTTTTCTGTCCCACAACAACAATCACTGACCTGCGGCACCTCCTTGGCCCACAGCATCCACATGGGCAGCGAGGTCCTGCAGTAGGCACCAGGTGTAACTCACATCACCAAGAGTGAGTTACTTTGCTAGTGTTTCTAATGATCCCCGTAGCCACGTTGTCTCCTGCCACAACAGGGTGGCGAGAGGTTTGCTGAGAGGTTCGCTCCCTGCTGCGGTGAGCACCAACACCTAGCTCCATGGGCTGTGAGAGAGCCACCTCTCCGTCCCCACCCCTGCACGGCACCACCGAGCAGCCTCACTTCAGCTGGGCTCCGCTTCCCAAGCGATGCCCAGCTCTGGCCCTGGCTGTCACCATCTCTGCTTCCTCCAGCACACCTCCAAGCAAGGGGCTACCGGAGCAGCCACAGGACAGCAGAGTGGGAGCTGAGCCTGTCCCCGGCATGGGCTTGCAACCTGGCACTCATTTCCGTTAAAGACCTTCTCCAGCCTCCCCTTCAAGGCTGCACAGGCCATTCTCTCCCGCTGCCTCTGCCCATCTGCCTGTCTCACACACACACGCCTCTATCATGCCAGCCAGGCTGGAAGTACACACAGCCTCCCCTTGCAGGCTTGCAGGCTAAGCAAGTGGTTCCCTCGGGCTGTGGCAGCTTCTGCACAGCCGGTCCACAAAGGAAACCTCCACAAGAGGAGGCACCAGTGTCTGAAAGGGTCCTACTGGCTGTGCTTCCCTAACACTGTGTGCATCTGCAGCAGCCCTTGAGACAGCTGAAATCTGCATGTAGGGATCTCCCTGAGCTGCAGAAGCAGGAGGCTGGAAGGTCCCCATTAGCGTTCCAGCACCTCTCCCTGACACTGCAGCTTGCACCCTGTGTGTCTGTGCTACTGTGAGCAGCAGGTGAATACTCACCAAGAGTGGCTATGAAGATGAGACACAGGATGATAAAGAGCCCGCTCCCCTTCTCAGTGATCTCCTTCCTGAAAAACAGGGAGTCCTGGTGATACCAGTGCACAGGGACTGGGGCAGATCCCTGTACAGGGGCATTTTCACTTGCAAGCTGAGAAGCACCAATTCTGGACGTCAGCTGCTGACAGAAAGCTGACAGACTGCTCCTTTCAAAAAGAGTGTGGTTTCTATCTGCACCCTTCAACAGCACAAGCAGAACTTGCAAAAAAAAGTGCTCCAAGATCACCTTCAGACATGGAGTTAAAATGATTCCGGCAAGTAAGCAGACCTAGCAAGGGAAAACAGCTCTTTGGCAGTCTCTGCTGGGCACTGGCCTTGCCTTTCGCTAAGGCGGCACACTTGGTTGCACTTGAGATGAAACACCTTTTGTTTTGGGGTGTTTCCACAGTGCTGGGCAGAGCAGCAGGCATTTACTGCTTCTCTCCTGCCAGCCCCATGGATCCGCCCCCTCTCTCCCAGCCAGAAGCTGGTCTTGGCCACAGCAAAGCCTTCTCCTGCAGAGGCTTGGCCTTGACTCGGAGCACTTCGCTGCGCCCAAGTTACTTCCCTGGTGACTGAGGTTCCGGCCACTGACACACGCACCGAGTGGGGTTGCCAAGGGACTTTTGCTCTCATTGCTTTCCAAGCAGCCGCCCCAGTCCTGGCAGCACCTGACCCGCTGCCAGGAAGAGCCATGCCCTCCTGGTCCAGAGCACTGCCAGCCTCCCCCTGACCCACCGGCACCCCCCTCCGTTTCCACACTGGCCACGTGCTGTACTCACACAGTGGAGATGCATGTGCTGACGTATCCATGGAGGGACACCAGGGCCAGCGCCAGACTGCTGGAAATGATCAAGACGAAGCGCGGCAAAGAAACGGGAGAAAAGCCTGAAGACCCTTTCTGAGGACACCTGTTGGGATGCATGTCAGACCCTGCAGGGAAAGGGGTGCTGGTCCCATGCACTGCCTCCCCGGGGCAGTGGCAAAGGCAGGGCCAGGGTTTTGCCCTGGGGAGGGGGCAGCTGGGTGGATGCCTGAGGATCTCAGGCATCTTTCCTGACAAAGCTGTCCGCCCTGTGGTCAGGTGCTAGGAGCCTGTGAGCGCTCGCCCTCCCCTTAAGATTCATGCTCCTGGCAAAAACTTGTCGGGCAGAGCCATGCCCAGAGCAGGGCAGCCTGCGGTCCCCTCCCTGGTGCAGTTGTGCCAGCACCATTTCCTCCAGCTCTGGCGCAGAGGAGCTCTGTGGGTGCATCCCAGAGGACACTGCAGAGCAAAGCAGCGTTGAACTTACCCTCATTTTGTTGAGAGCTGCCCGTGCAGCATGCAGACCCACTGGGTCGTGCCCTGGGCTGCCTCAGAATGGGTGAACCTGTGGGAGGAAAAAGGCAGAGGCCTGTTGTGCACTGTCTCCATGCCAGGCAATCCAAGGCAGGCGGGAGCTGCCAGTGCAGAGGCCCTGGCCAGAAGACAGGCCTTGGGAAGGCTTCCCAGGAGTTGGTAGCTCTGTGGAGGGAAAGCAGCAAGGCAGTGCAGCCGCTCCCACCCCGTCCTCCTCTGCCCACCGGGCCCTGTTGCACCAACCTGCCCACAGGCTGCCTTCCTCCAAAGCCCCCCACCTCTTCCCAAGGCCCCTGCAGCATGAGGGCCAGGGCCCTCCCCAAAACTCCCCCGGGGCTGTTCTTCCCACCAGAGACTCAGTGAGGAGAGGGCTGAGCTCTCCCACAGCTCTGCTAGAGGCTGCCCAGACACACCTGCACAGTGCCCGTGGCAGGCACCCGCAGACGGCTTGCGTGGAGAGCAGCAGGGATATCCCAAGTCCCCCGGCCAGGACTCTGAGCCAGCACTGGCAGCAGCGCTGCAGGGGTTGGCCTCGGGGGCTCAGAGGGGCTACCCAAGTCCCACAGCTGCTGCTCTGTATGGTACAGGGAGACGGACATTAAGACCCATCCGCTCACCCCTCTGAGAAGCCCTTCAGGTGGGCTCTGCTTCCCAAGTGATGCGCAGCTCGGGTGCTGGCTGCCCCCCACACCTACACACCTAGGTCCACAGACCCCTGGAGGGGCTGTGCCACACCACTTCGTCCCTTGGGTCATTCCATCAGCACCACCCAACCCAGGTGCCCACATGTTGCCACCAGCCCCCCATGGCTGTCCTGAGCCATACTTCCTTCTCCTGATCCCACAGGTTCCCAGAGGCTCCCAGAGGTTTTCCTAGCTGCCCATATCTGGGACTCCCACCACCCCAGCCCCCTCTGTGCCTGGGGACCCCGGAGGACCTGTGACACCTCCAGAGCCCTCCTGTCCTGGCTTCCCTGGCTGCTTCCAGCTGCCATGAGACACGTTCCCAGGCCTGTGGCACTCCCCTGATGGCCGCTCCCAGCGCATCGCACATTGCCCAGGCCTTCACAAGCCTGTCCCCTTCCACAAGGCCCCCATGGCTGAGGCAGAGCATCAGCAATGCCGTGTCCCTGGCAGGTCAGAGGGCTCTGCCTGGAGAGGTACTCTGGGCATGGGGGGAGGGGGTCAGGGAGAGCTGAGCCAGGATGCTCCTGGGGATCTGGCTGCTCCTTGTGGCAGGGGAACCACACCAGTGCACATGATGTACCCCATGATTGCCACAGGATCCCAACAAGGACAGCGAAATGGTAGCCAACTGTGTTAATAGTCTAAAAGTTAAGTGTCTTGCAGAAAGTCTATAGTTCTGCATCAGCTTTCGTTTAAGCCAGAACAAATTTTAAATGATGTTTAGAACAGTGGGAGGCAACATCAACAGTGACATTTCCCAGTTACTTGAACAGTGTACTACTGTCAAGTATACTCATGAAAGTCAGACTCTAGCAGACCAATACTGTTCAAAAGAAAATTAAGATATACAAGGTTTGTCTAGTATATATCCTTTATTACTTGCAGTCTGTGTGAAGTTTAATATATGACTGAATTTCTACATCATTTTCTGTGTTTAAGCACATCCTGGTCTTTTCCAACAACCCAGTCAATTGCACCGTTACTATGTACAGTCAGTATTTATGAAATATTGCATATCCATCTATGAACTTAGAAAAATAACATGCTAGGAAAATTGTTACCATGAAACTCATGAAAAAAAAAGATAGGTATAACAATCAATCCCCTTTTAGTGTGTTATGGCTTTGCACCAAGTATCAGATGTCAAAACAAACAGTTTAAGATGCTTCTTGTTAAAGGCACTTACTGTTCTTCAAATACACTTTGAAATTGAGTTCTATTGCATTAGAAGTGTACCTCTAGGATCATACTTTCATAACACAGCAGAACAGTCCAAAAAGGCAGCATTAATAAAAGGAAAAAAGTTTGGTTTTTTTTTTTTTAATCTTAAAGTATGAAAATACCTAGAATTAACACAAACTTCCAGGATTTGGTCCTTATAAAACAGGCAACAGCATTCAGGCAAAGTGATTTCTTTTTTTAGATGCTGACAAAATATCCCCAAAAATGAACTCTTCCAGTTCCAGCGTATAGATATGTCTAAGTTGAGTAGCGTAACCTCTAACACCACCCCCAATAAAAATACAGCTTTTCAAGAATAACTACTGCTCCACTTTGGCTGTGATGGAAGAAACCTCAAAGGAGCATTATACAAACATATACTAGCAAGCCTACAATTCTGTGTCTCTGTATCTGGATGGCTGTCCATAATACCCCTTCTTAGAGTGGTCTGATAACTGCCGACGATACTCCTCCTCCTCCTCTGCATCACTGCCGTAACCACCACAGTTCTCCAGGTAAGGTCTAATAGGAGGTTTCTGGGGTTCTGGAGGTCTGGAGCTAACACAGCAAGAAAAAAGAAAGAGAGAGAGAGAATGTTCACTTCCATTCTGAAAAGTTGAAAAATAATTATACTTAGTATTGGCTTTATGGACGTGTACAACCTAGAAAGGTATATGGAGTAAATGAAACCCCTGCTAGCCCATAAACAATCGCATGACGACGGTAAGCCTATCTGGAGAGGCATCTTATTTCCACCAAGCTGGAGCCTGATGTTCAGATTTGATCTACTCAGCTTACCTGGAAGAATGCCAAATTTAAAATTATTAAACCTCCCTGCATACATAGACACATCAAGAGGTCTACAGCACTTCATTCACTGAGCATAGAGGTTTTCAGCCATTGCTACCACCCCAACTGACATTTTCCTCAATTATTTTTGCACCAGGTTCTCTCTATGCCTGCTTCTGCTTTTGCATCCCCAGTTTCCTTTCTCCAAGTCTGAAGAATTATGTGACATTTCTTAAATTGATAGCCTTCTCTCCTCACTCAAGGCTGTCACTAGGGGTCTTATCCTTCAAAGTGGGCAGAAATAACCCACACACTTGCTTTTGATACACTGTGGTGCTACTGATTTAATGTGATACTAAGTGCATACATAGAAATAAAATCTGCCAAGGAAGGGCACTTCCTCAGTTTCAAAAGCCATGATATTTGTAATCCACACTGTACAAAACCAAGATGTTATCCTCCTTCCATACTGTTCCAGGGCTTAAATATTCCCTCTAGGCAAATCATCAACATTCCTGTAAAAAGGCAGCAGCACTGATTTCTGTATGTAAGCAAACACTTTCCAGATGTGGTTAAAGATTACTTTTCACTACTTCCAAAAAGCTTCCAAGGCTATATAAAAAAAGTATGCTTTTCTGAATCCACCAAGAAAACCTGAAAATAATCACTCCATGTTTTCCATTTTTGCATTTTAGGCTATATACTATGACATCAAAGGATTTGATTCACTAGAAAAGAAAGTCCTATTTCTACTGCTATTACTAAGAGCCAAGAAAAAATTAAAGTCCTGCAGAGCAGAAACCAAAATCCATCATACAATGTGTTAGCTCTTGCACAGGTGACTGCTCAAGTCATAGATATATGCAATGGGTAGGGTAAGATAACAGAATGGTCAACCAGTCCAGACCTCATTGAATTTTAATGAAAGACTACTACTTTCATAAGACTTGATGGGTGACCTCAAGCAAGTTTCATCTTCTGTTTCCCTACCCACACAATACATTTGTTACTAAATAAGCATTTAAGTAATAAAGTGTTATTAAGTAATCAAAGCACCAATTATTTGTTAGGATAGACTAACAGTCATCAAGTATCTAGCACAGGAAGAATGGACATCAGAGGACACAAATACGGAAAAGCTTCTGAGTAATACTGATTGGGGCAAAAAACTGGTTCTGCAAATATTTCAGCAAAAGAATATAGTGTTTCTTCGTAGGTAACTCAAATACTATGAATCAACTGAAAAAAAAAAATACCCTGAAAAACAAGAAGAGTTCACTGATATTTTGCCCCACATTTGCAGTAATATTTCAGGGACAACAACAAAGTGATATTGCAAGGCAGGATTATTCATATGAATAAAAACTGGCAAGATCAGTTCTCCTCCTGCTAGTGAAGTAAACACTCAAGACAGAATGCATTAAACTGGATACACCTCACCTCGTAGGCTGGGGCCAGCTCTGTTCTGACTTCTGTGTTTTGACAGGGACAGCATAAATATCCGGGTGCTTCTGGGCAATTTCAAGCTTTAAAAGAAAGTAGGAGAAAATAACTGTTCTTTTTAAGTCTATCCATTAGGGATCCTAGACTGTAGATCTAGCAGGTCATAGCTACATCTAAAACAATTAAAGCACAAATTGTTAATTTATCTTATTCATATGCTTACAATTACATAATCTTTTGCTAGAGCAGTAATTCAGAATGCATGTGAAAATAATGGATTGCCAAAAGCAACAGGATTATCAGAAGCCAGCTTTCTATAGTTACATAGGAAGCCCTAAAATACATCCTCCTTTTACATGCAAATCCACACAACGTTATGTCTGTATGTGTGGTTTCCAAACTTCTCCCTCCAGAAGCAACACGATTGCAAGGGCATGATTTTCATTTTCAGGATGCAGGCTGTTCTATAAGCCGGAAAGCACAGCAGAGGGAGAATGCATGTCTTCATACCCTGGCATTCTGGGCCTCTTGTAGCTCTTGCATTCTTTGCATCCTCGCCTTATGATCCATCTCCTCAAATATTTTTACTTTCCTCAATACAGATTTTGGAGTATTTTCTTGTTCACTTCCTTCCTCTTCCAATTTTGCCTCCTCCTCCTCCTCTGCAGGTGGGACTGCTGGCTGAGGGTTTCTCAGGATGGGACGCCCAAAGGCAGGTTTCACAGAAACAGGTGGTGGTGGTGCTTTAGCTGCTGCAGTTGAAGCCTCACTGCTGACAGCAATGTTACTTGATTTGGAGTCATAGTTCTTAGGGAAGTCATACAGATCTTCTTTGTTTTGTATCTTTCCCTGCAAGTATAAAACACACAAAGCTTACACCAGCAACTTCGTAATTTTCATTTCAAATGAAGCCTTTAATCTGAAATTAATCATTTTGCCTACGTATTTACCAGTGTCAATCTTCATCCAGAGTAACACTTGAAAGATATTTGAACTGCTGGAACATTTTGTCCATATGCTTATACACTACACATCAACCTACAGAAGACTAGCACATTCAGACTCGTTTGTCCCTTTTGTTAAGGATTACCAGAACTATAATGTGTATTAGGGGACAGTACAGAGAAAACTGACCTTCCAAATAATTTGTCAGTACTACCTAATGTAGAATATCACTACCAGGAGTTTAGAAGTGCACAGGACCCAAGTCTGCTTTCTACTCCATCTTTTTTTCCTTACACATGTCCTACTCTGCCCAATCTCCATTGTCAAGGCATACTTGAATATATTTTGAACACATGCAGTATGTGAGGGCACCCGTCCTCATAAAGAAAGGACTTTGGGGTCAAGGGAAATCGGGAATTGCCAAAATAGGATTTGGTGTCCAGACGTTATAATTTTTTTTCCCCTGCACCATTCCTGAGCAAGGTTTGAATAAACAGTTAACATCAATTTCTACTGATGGAGACTGACATCAGAGGTGGTAGACTCTAGTTTTGTGCTTCAAAATAATGGCCACCAGATTTGCTTCTCCTTATGATTAGCCTACATTTGTTCCTGCTGAGCTAAAAAAGTGCCTTTCAGTTTGTTAGGAGACACAAAAAGGAGTTTACTTTCTTATTCCATATAGAGATCACACATATTTGAAGAGAACTGTTATCCTTCAAGTCTTCTCTCTGCTTGATCCTGCAACACCTTCAGTCATTCCTTCTCTCCATACTTACAGTGTTCCTAGTCTGTGATCATTCCTATTGCTCTTCTGAATGTGCTGCCCTGGACAGTTCTCCAGAAAGAGGAATTTTGTATTCAGATTTGTGTCTACAAGTTTACCTTAGGTGGTTCAGGCTTGAATGCTGGAGGTGGACTCGGATCTCTAAGGATCTCCCTGCTACCAGCTTTTCTCAACTGAGCCCTTGGTTCTGGACTAAATTTTTTTAAACCCTATGAAAGAAAATAAGAGATAAAAATCACTGCAGTATCCAGTAATTCAATAATTTTTTCCCCTCTTTCAAGTTTACTATTTTGGGAACAGTAACCAGGAGTCACATGACTGTCAGCAACCTGATCACAATCACTGCAAATATAATTGCAAAGTTCAAGGTGATGAGACATCATCAGGAAACCTATAGAGTTCGGCAGAAAAGCAGAGCTATTATTATTTTTGCTCTAACACAATGTAGCTCTAAAACACTACCAGAGGTAAGAAGAAGCTGCAGTTTAAAAAACTCTCATTTTTATGCCATACATACAGGGCTTTCAGAAAGTCCAAAGTACAGTCTTGTTGAAAATGCAGTCTCACCTCCTCATGATGCACAGGTTCAGAGGACCGGCTAACAGATGAAATCCTTGGTTCGTCCAAGGGCTCATCAAGTTCATTGTCGGTGTATGCACCTCCTTCTCCATCTGTATCCTCTAGGTCACTGATCAGCCGACTGTCGCAACTCAAATAGTCAGCACCCATTGCAGTAAGGTAAGACATACGATCATCCGCATCATCTTCCATGCCGTCCATCTAGAGAAAAGTCAGTAAGAATTAAGGAACAAGGGTTAAATACAGAAGAAGTAGAGTCTAGTTAGGTCTCAGCATCATGCCAAATAACTCCTTAAGAATGACTTCGGAGAACTGAAAGAAACTCTACAGGAAAGTCCTGTAAAAGTTTATGCCTCCTCATCATTCTCCCCTAGCCACAGCATTAGTGATGAAAGCTCCAAAGTATAACAAAAAGAATAATAAGTAATTTTTTTGTTACCCAGACAGACATCAACTGACTACTTGTCTAAGCTATCCAGCATTGGTAAACAACATTTTCAACAATTTTTACTGGCAAGAGATACCTTGAGACATCTGCATAGCTTAGTACAGCATAGACTGACTGCTTACCTTTCCTTCTGATACCCATACTGCTTCTCCTTGCTGTTGCTGAATTGTATCTTTCAGACTGCCATACCAGCTATCATTGGCTGAATTCAAATTGATGGTGGCTGCAAAAATTGAAGGAAGAAGTATATATACACAGCAAATGCAATGTGATCCTTTATCCAGTCTTTGCTGTTTAACACTTTTTCTTTTCAGTTATGCAAGAATGTTAAACAGCCATTTCATTTAGATCATTGACAGAAGCATGGTATTTTTATTTTATTGTCCGTCCATTCCCCAAGCTTATTAAATAATTTATCTTTTAATGACAGTACGCTGATTCACTTTTTTTTTTTAATTAGTATTTGTCAGAACAAGGAAACTCGAAAAGCAAGGGATTGCTCATGACCATGCCTTCACACCCTTTTAGTTCCAGCCTGCATAAGTTAATATGCAGACTAGTAGTGGATGTCTCAAGACGCATACAGTCACATCCACTACTCTCTTAGTAAGCAGGTTAGAAACACATTCTTCCTTACCTGTAAAGAGGTGGGAACAAGTTTTCTTCAGTTTGTTTGCTTGCTCATAAAGTTTTCTAGAGCTCTTGTTAGATGTGGAGCATAGCCTTTGTCTCATGGTTTTCACACCCTGCTTACTGTCTGGGTTAAAGAAGACCACAATTGGAAACCACTGGGTGTAATTTAGCAGGTCCACTGCTTTAGGAGTCACATCCAACAGAGCATGTTTATCCTGTTAACAAGAAAGCCCAGTCAGCGTGCTGCTTGTGGGGAACAAGAGGAGGTGGTTAGAATATGGCATCCTAGGAAAACCAGGATATTTTTTGTCCAGACAGGACCACAACTTGTTGGATTTTTTTTCCCCACAGTTATATCACATTCAGAAGCCACAGCAGGCAGCCTTTTTCCTTTCAGCTCCATTTTTCTGAACAGCTTTTGCCTGAATGTAGACATCCCTATGTTAACTCTCATGTTAAGTGAAGTGCACTTATTCACAGTTAACTAGCTTTTCACTCTACCTGCCCCTACCACAGCTTCCACTACCACAACTATTCCAGGTGCTATCTGTGAGCTTTTACCTACACTTATTAGCTGAGGCAAATGTTACTTTTTTCATTTAATATATTCCTTCTGAGCTACTTCCAGCGCAAAGACTAATGGGATTTTCAAATGTGTGCTTCAGTGGGGCCTGAGCTCTGAACAGATGCCTGTGTGACATTCTAGCCCCTCTGGCATCGATTTTATTGGGCTCAGGGCAACAAGCTGCAGAGTACATTCTTTTTGCCCAAGATTCTTAGGCTTCTTGATTACCACCTATTTACTTGAACTCTAAACTGCATTATAAAAAAAGAGTCAATGCAGTCTCAGTAGATGCTACTTAGCTATCACAGTCACCTCCTGTTCAGTTCAACAGCAGTAACTCTGAAGCAATCTAAAACATTAAGTTTCTGATGTCAGTAAGAGCAAGTAGGGCACTGCATGACTGTAAAGTCCCCACAGCAAATTCAGAAAGCATACAGTAAAATACATATGCCCCTCTGTTCAAACTTAGAGTGGCCTAAGGAAGAGAATTTAATTTCTAATTTCAGATTCACTCTCCCACTTGGAGCACAGCTACCAAAATTGTTGTTGAACGATTTCAAAACAGCCCTATAATTAAGCCAAGTCTGCTTATTGCAGAAATAGATGCAGTGAAGATTTGAGGGCTCTGCAAGTTGTAGTAGCAAACAAATCAAACAACATGCCTTTGAGTGTAAGCAATTTTCACAGAGAAATACTCTACCTGCTCAATGATTTGTCTCACAGTGTTCAAACGCACTACTCCAGTTGACTTCTCTGAACCTGCATCTCTGGGCTCTGTCTCTGCAAAGACAACATTTTAGCTTATCTAGAGTGGCTGAGCAGCTGTTATTATTAAGTTATCCATCTTCTCAGTTAAGTATGATAAGGAAGCTAGGAGGACAACTCACTTGCTGTCTGGTACAGATGAGGCAAATCATTTGACAGTTTCTCCATAGCTACATCTGCAATAGGGCCAAATATCACCACAGGCCTCTTAAAACCAGCTGAAAGAAAAACATTTGGAGAAAAGATAAGTCTCACAAGACTGGTTCTATATATAAGTGAAGTGGCACGGACAAGATCCTCAATTACTATACAAGTTTATGAATAAGTTGAAGATGTTAAATATATTTAAAACGTTTTATTTTTCAAAAGTTTGTGCAACAGCGTAATTCATACAGAAAGCTATTTTTACTAGCTGAGAAAGCAAAAGAGATTGTTTTAATTTAACAGCTTCCTTATTCCTTCTAGTGAAGATGTATTGAGAAGACAGTATGTTCTGAAAACATACAGCAGATCTTCAGTAATCTTTCCATCCAGCAAAACAGCATGAACTCAGTGGGTTTTACATGAATAAAGACACAAATGCTAAACCAGCTGCAAGGCAGTTTGAAGAAGCAAAGAAATGCAAAATTCTGTTCTGTTTATGTCAAAACAAGTGCAAACACAGTCCTCGTAAGTTAATGGGGGAATACCATTCTATTGCTCAGTCTTCATCTTGATATCTGGGAGCTCCTTTAAAATACTTTTTACTGTTTGTTTTATTCCACAATCCCGTCAAGTGTGAATAGCCAGAAAACTATTTGACTTGCTCAAGATCGCTAGCAATATAGCTAGTTTAGAGTCATGGAGATAGACCACACCAACCCTGATTACATTTGGACAATCTGTTGAAAATACTTAGGTTTTATTTGCCCTCAAGGCAATGTTGAGATATTTATGAGATATTTATGAGCAAGCTAAAGATTGTGATTAATCTCAGGCATACGGATTGTTCTTTCAGAGCTAGCCAAGGGGAAGCTGAGGACACAAGAAAACCCTGCTCGTTTCTTTCTTTTTTCATTTTAAACCTTTGTCCTGGTTTGGCCAAAACCAGAGCTATTTCTGCTTTCAGTAGACTTTTCTTTTAGTTAAGTTTTCTTAGTATCTGCCCTGTCTGGAGCTGACTGCAGGTTTCAGGCAGTGCCTGCTGTCAGAGCTGATGGCGGTTGATGTCTGTAGCTCTTGCTGGGGCAGGAGCGGGATTGTTCTGCAGAAAGGCCCACGGGAGTGTGTGTGTTCCCTTCAAGGCTCTCTTGGGCTCCGCTGGGTTCCTCCTGGGTGGGGGAAGGCGGAGGACGGGTCACACCCCCAGGAAGCTGCAGAGGGCACAGGTGACCCAGGCCTTACCAACACAGTATTCCATCCCACCCACGGGAATACTCGGTATAAAGCTCGGGGATCACGGGCGTCATCCCTCTC